TTTGGTAGACCTGGATCTCAAAAAAGAACTCAGTTATAAGATTACAGTGGAAAGGGTAGGGTTTGGCTTTTTTGTGGTTATTGATTATGAAAAGGTGCCAGAATTATGCACCTTTTGCACTTGAATATGCCACTCTATTAGAAGTTGCAAAAGAAAAGGTGGAAAAGAATTTGGATCAATATTTAACTAAGCCAAAGTCAGGATCTCACCTTGTATTCTGTTGCCTTGGATAAGAAGACACAGAAAGAGCCTCTTAGTATCAATAAGATGGAAGGAAAAGTGGGGGGTAAACAAAGATAACATGATGATTAACATTACCACTGAAAATACTTTTGAGGTGTTGGAAAGTGAAGATAATAGTGAAACTGAATTTGTGGATGCCATACAAATAGAGAAAAGAATTCTTGAAACACAAGATATAGTTGAATATAATCAGAAAATGTCAAATACTTTTTGGAGAAATTATGGCCCAACATGGCTGAGTTAGCTAAGGATGAAACCATGATGAGGACTTACCTCTTGAGGATGGATTCAAATTTTTCACTACAAAGAAATTAAAAAAAACATAGCCCCAAAGGTAAATCTCACACTAAACTTTGGTCTAGTCCTAAAAATCCTTCCTTATGAAGTGTATTTACTGGAACATCAGAGATGTTGCCAACATCACTTCTGGACTGCCTCTAAAGAGACTGATCAAAATCAATAAACCATAACTGGTCCTTATAGCTTAACCTTAGATGGATTTTGCTAACTTCCCAAAACATTGGCTCAACAAACTGGATCTAAACTTTTTTCAATGAATTCTAGACTTGGCTTGTTTTCTAACCTATGGTGCTTGTGCAAATATCACCTTCAATCCACTGTGTTTCATAGTGATGACCAACATGTTGCTTTTTCCATCAACTTTCAAAACAAATATTTTGGATTCTCTGCCATTTATTCTTCCACAAAATATTTTCATAGATGAATTTAAATACATATCTCAATTTTAGATGAATTTAAATACATGTCTCAGTTTAAATTCTTGAAGATGTGGTCTTTGCATGAGGATTGTCTATGTCGCATAACTAATTTTTGGAATACAAGAATCTCTGGTACATTCTAGACAAGAAACTGAGAATTCTGAAAACAAGGTTTAAGGATTAGAACAAAAGTAGCTTTTGAAATGTGCAAGCCAAGGTACATGAAGTATAGATGAAGTTAAACAACATTCAGTTTGAGATTGTGAATCAAGATCAATCTGACTTTCTCCATGATAAAGAAAGAAAGCTCATCAAATCTTGATGTGACTCTTAATTTTTTGTGACTGATAACTATGTGATGGAGAATCACATTGAGAAACACTACAAATATTTATTAACCTTTTTAATGGTGGAAATGTAGCTCTAAAAATTGACATTTCCAAAACATTTGATACTATAAGTTGGTCCTTTAGTATCAAAAATCTCACTGCTTTTGGGTTTAATGAGAGTTTCTGCAATTGGATCAAAATTATCCTTCAATCAGATTTTGTTTCTATTGGTTTGAATGGAAAACATATAAGATTCTTCAATTATTCTAATGGTGTGTGACAAGGTAAACCACTATCTCCTCTCTTATTCTTTTTGGCTGAGGAAGTCTTGTGTGAAGGCATTTCCAATCTAGTTGCAGATTATTATGTCTCTCTAATCAAAATTAGTATCTAATAAGTAAAATAATAACAATATGTAAAATGACACAGAAATTGGTATATCTAATTCGATGCAAAATCATCTATGTTTGGAGGGCGTTAACACAAGAAAGGAAATTTACTCTTAATAATCAGAAGTACAAATTAGTCTGATTTAAACTCTCATATGTTGATTGATGATATTTGATCGGTTATATCTTGACCATATCATAATTAATCTATTTTAATCTTGTTGGATGATATTTTGGAAAAAATTCCTTATTCCAAAAAGCGCATAAATGATTTAAACATGATTAGACAAATACAAAAACAAATCTTCAATAAGCATGAGATTTGCTCAACGCAAAGCAGTTTCTTAGCGAGAAAAAATGTCTTACAGACTGGAGAACATTTTGTTGGACAAGTGAGTTTAGGCACAAGTGGGGAGGGGGGAATTATGGTATTTATAATTTTCAATTATTTTTGTATTTTTCTCGATTAAAATTGTGTTAGCAATTTCTTAAGAGTACATGACAGCGAAAATAAAAACAATAAATAGCATAAAATAGAGTAAGAGTTAGAGAAATTGCACCTGGGAGTTATCTAGGTTAGAGAGATTGTGTGAGAAGGAATTCATTACCATTATCAGATCTAATGCATTTTATGTGATGGTTGAATTGAGTTTTTATCATTGACACAAATGGCTTAATGATGGATGATGTTTCAAATTTTAGTCTCATGAGAAAAACCTAAGTAAACTTACTTTTGCCATCCAAAACAGTTAAAAAGTATTTATAACCCATCATAGATAGTATGGATAGAGGGCCCCAAATATCCATATGTACCGAATCAAAAATTGAGCTAGAGACATGAGAACTAAGAGAGAAGAAAGCCTCTTTTTTCTTGGTATAAAAACAAATATCACATGGAGAATTATGAGTGACAGGTTTGATAAAAAGAACATTTTTATTAAGCTCAAGTAATTTAGCATGTGAAATGTGACAAAGTCTTATGCGCCAAATGTTACAATTGTGAGATGTATCTAAGGTGTGAGGATGTATGGCATTGATGTAGTGACGAGGTAGTATGTTATGCAAGGTATCAGATGGAGAGGTCAAGAGATGCAATCCACCATTCAATTTAGTTGTGCTAATCATCATCTTGAAGAATGTTCCTATATTACACAATCAATATCATTAAAAATCAATTGGGAGTTAAGTGTTTTAGTTAACTTAGGGGCAAATATGAGGTTAAAGGAAAAGTCAGACATGTATAACACATGTGATATAAAAAGACTGGTTGAACTGTATAGTTATGGAAAATTTGTGGTTACCATGCGTCTATGTAGAAATTTGATGGTTATGGTTTGATTATATTCATGCACTAAAAAAAATTTGGTTTAGCACACATGGTCAGTTGCATCAATGTCTAATATAAATGTTTCAGGTTTTAAAGAGTTAGGGAGAATGCATATAATACTTGTGCCTACATCAGGTTGATTTGTCAAATGGGTGATGCTATAAGACTGTGAATGTGATGTTCATTGAAGGAGAGCTAACTAAGCTTTGTGTTGATCTGGTGTAAAGACCAAAGTATTAGAGTCCTGCTCATTTTTTTCATTGAATTCAGCTTGATGCTCCTCTACTTTATTTGTCATGGCTGCATAATTGTTTACTACACCATCATGTTGCCAATGTTGGGGAGAACCATGGTTTTTGAAACAAGAATCAACTATGTAGTTAGTCATGCCTCAATGAGTGCAAACCCAACGCCTATTCCTCGACCACCAAAAAACCTGCCACCTCTAGTAGTGCCTCTACCACAAAAATTGAAATTAGATTTGAAATGAGAGTTCTGATCTGATTAGGATTAGGAAGAGCTAACACTTTTGGGTCCTCAAGTGGTAGAATGGCTTGTCTTTCTTGTTGAATAAGTAAGGAATAAACTCTGCAAATGTTGGGGAGTTGATCCATTAAAATGATTAGTGATCTAACAGCTAAGTATTGATCATTCAAGCCTTTTGGAAATCGAATAACTTGATCTCCATCTTTGTATACACATATCTTGATAATAACTTGACAAGTGGAATAACAAGAACATTCAGGAATTGGACGAAAATTGTCTGACTCTTGCCACAGTTTCTTGAGTTTGGTATAGTAAGAAGAGATGGAAGAATCACCTTGTTTCAAAGTACAAATTTCTTCTTCAATATCGGAAAATTTGAAAATATCTCCTTCATAGAAGTAATCCTTCAATTCAGTTCACATTTCAACAGCAATAACCATCCACAAAATGCTTTAGCTATCTCTGATTCGACTGAATTGTTGATCCATGACATAATCATGGTATTGCACCGGTCCCAAGCAACTGAGTTGTGATCTTCATCTGGTGGTCGAGAAAAACCATCATTCATAAAAAGTAGTTTGTTCTTGGATCTAAGCACCATAGTCATGAAATGCGATCAAGAATGATAATTGTTGCTTGAGAGTAAGGGAGAAACAAGAACTAAAGTTGGATCTTCACTACAATGCAAGAAATAAGGATTGAGAGTATCAGTTTGATAACCCTTTTTATTGGCGTGAGATGATGATCCACCATTGATTGAAGAAAGGAGGAAGAAAATAAAGAACCGGAGATTGATGAGCTGATCACAGCGCAGAAGGGAAGGCTTGACCATAGGTCGATGATACCATATTAAAGCTCAAGCTAAACAATCAGAAATCATTGAGATCAATCAAAGGAAAGTGGTATTCGAATTTCTTATTGCTCAAAATCTCAATTGGCACATGAAGATGAAGTTGCTTATATAGCAAGCAACTGTAACTAACTATTAACAACTAGATAACTAACTTGAAGTTAGTTATTTTTCTGTTTTGTTTCTCTATCATCTATGTTAGTTACATTCTCTCCTCCTCCACTGCATTTAACACTTCTGTCATATTTAGGAGAGACATCTCATTGCATTTTGAAATTCCGACTAACCATTGGAAACTATCACACTTTTGCATGGGTATGACTATACTTAAATAGAGTAGACCAATAGAATCATGCTTAGAAAATTTTAGTAGTTGCTCATTCTTCATTATAATGACAAAAGATCAAGTTGCAAATGTCTTAACAAAGCCATTCAAGATAACGAGATTGAAGAAAATGAAGAAAGTTATAGAGTTTCAGGTTTCAACAAATAATTGAATCCCCAAGTCATACTTCTGAATGTAACAAATGACATATTGCAGATCCTGTACACAATCTGAACAACATTTAAAAAACAGTAACACTGCACAAAATAGCAGTCACAATGATAAATAATCTTATTGATCTTTATACAAAGTAAAGAAGGGGAAAAAATGGACTATACATAGAAAACTTGGCCAACATTTAAGAGACTCTCATGAGGAATATTGAAGATCACACTATTTTCCCTGCATATCTTTCTAAGAAATGCATATATATAATCAACTGCTATTTTCTTGTAGAATCTTGAATCTCTACTAGCAACTACAACTGTGTTTCCTAGAATATGAACAACACCAGCTTCTCTGCAGTTGTTTAAAAATTCATATTCATCACCCTCAGTGTAATGGCTTGAGGATTGAAAAGTAACGTTTACGTGTGATGGCGATCTTGCAGGAACTATTGAGTCGACTGATGAGATTGTTAAATCCCCGTTACTCAATGAATTTGTGTTTCCGTTGTTATTCAACGTGAAATCTCTCGTCTGTTCGGTTTGCGGTTCACATAAGCTGTATTCTGAATCCGAGCAACCTTCCATCATGGACTCAAGTCGAACAAACATGAAAAGGTTGTGAAAGAGTTTCTTCTCAAAATCATCGTCTTTCTTATGCAGGTCTTTATATCCATATCGCGCCACGCATCGAAAAATGTGGTAGTTCTTTGGTCCAATGCGCTTGACAAGGAACCGTTCTTCTTCCGGGACGGTGTAGACAGGAAGATATTTCACACAGACGAAAACAACGACAGAATGGATGGCTGGTAGGTTGGTAATAAAATGAGAAAATATGTGGGGAACTCCACTTGCGAGTTCTGTGTAGACTAGGCCGACTCCTGGGACACGAACTAGTCCTAAACTGGGACCGAGACCAAGAATCCATGCCATTGAGACTTTACTATGCAATTCAAACTCGTAACGCTTCAGTGTACCGTAATGCCAAATATACATAACAAGCAGAAACACTCCGGCAATTGCAAGCGGGGCCCAGCCGCCTTGATCGACTTTGAAGAGTACAGCAGAAAAGTATGTGCATTCCACAATCAATGATAAGCCAGTAAACACAACAACAAGAATCCAATGGCAGTGCCAAACTAATATCATGACCAAAATCATCAGTAGTGTTGTAACCAACATGACTAACACAACAGCAGTGCCTGTTATTACAATGACATATTTGCTTGTTAATAGCCATAATAATTTTCCAAACTGGAAAATCTGGAAAATCTATGAAGCACAAACACACATACTAGACACAATACGAGCGTCCACAACCACTAATAATTTCACTAAATCGAACGATTGAATGTAAACATGTGTCTTAGACGTGTCGATCTCAGACACACCGAACAAGCCTTCAATCTATAGTGTCACTGCTACACAAGGGTTATATAATGTAAGAACTAGTATAGACTTACCATATGCATTTCCGATCTGACTTTGATTTTTAAAGCCGGCAGTAACAGCAATGCAAAGGATCATAAGGATCCAATTGATATCTGGAATATATATCTGGCCAAGGAACTTTTTCGATGTATGAACAACTTTGACTCTTGGAAAACAGCCATGAGCAAGGGCTTGCTTAATGATTGAAAAGGTTGCTGTTATTGTAGCCTGGCTTGCAACTATTGCTGCTAGTGTTGCAATAACAAATACTGGCCAATATATTTTGTCTGCAGAAAAAAGGAAAATTAACATCTACCAGACAAAAATCACCGCAAAAATCAAAAACTACTTTCAATGTAGTGACAGACATAACAAACCTGGAATTGAACGATAAAAAACATCTTGTGAATGATGCAAGTTGTGTATCAGATAAGCCGCCTGTCCAGAATAGGCTAAAAGAAGGCAAGGAAACACAACAAGAGTAAACGCAATTTGTACCGATGAGACTGGAAAATTGGCTAAGTCGGCAAAAAGAGCTTCTGTCCCTGAAATCAATCATCACAAGTTTTTGAGTTTAAATGAATAGTTCACATCAATTAATAATTATGAAACATGTGAAGTAAATCAAATAGTTATGATATGAAACCTACCAGTTATGCTGAGCAAGATGCCGCCAAGGGAAAGCCAGCTATCTTTTCTTCCGTTTCTTATATACCGATACACATAGACAGGCGAAAAGGCTTTTAGGACTCTGCCACCGAATCTCCAAATGTTGTATATACCGATGCCTCCTATTAGCAGAAACCAAACCAGAACAATTGGAGCAAAGAGCCAACCAACTTTATCTGTACCATAATGTTGCATGCTAAATAGGCCAACTAATATTACAACCGCAACAATCACAACTACTCCTGTAACACAAATGGAAGAAAAATATGAGAGAAAAATGGATGATAGAGAAGATTAATGTAATGTTAAAGGTGTAAGACCATACCGCTATGGATTTCAGGTTTGTTTACTCTGATGCCACCAGCAGCAGATAAAACTACATCGGAAAGTTTCATTGGATAAATAAAAAGAAAGCTTGCAGTTAAAGAAACAAAGAGAAATAAATGGAACAAGAAGATCGTTCGGACAGAAAACAAACCAGATATAGCCGGAGTAAGAATACCATCTCCAATCACCATGCAGGTACCAACAAGGACAAGAATAAGAATGATACTTTTAATAAATCCTCTCTCTAACCATCTTTGGGTTTTCGCAGCAAACGACCTTTCGTGGATTGTAGTCCGGCTATATGTTGTTAACTCTTCATCCGTGCGATGCTGGTTGGGAATGATTTTTATATTCGCATGTCGGCAGAGCAAGGAATAAAGAGCCAGTGTTCCACCTGCCCCATATATGTAATAAGCTCGGTAAAATTTAGTTGCACAAAGACACCATATGATTCAAAAGATAGAGCTGATTATCAGAGCTTAAAGTTATAACACGTTACTTCGAAATTCTGAAGTTTAACCACTAATTTCCAAATCAAACCAAAAATAAGGAAATCAAATATATACCTTGACCATTGTCGTTTGCTCGTAACACAATAAAAACATATTTGAGCAGCGGCACAAGAGTAAGCGAGTAAATGATCAACGAAAGAGCTCCAATCACATCCTCTGGATCTTTAACTCCATGAGGAAACGTGTTATAAAAAACGTATAATGGAGAAGTTCCCAAATCTCCATAAACCACACCGAGACTCTGATATGCGAGCCGTATAACCAACAGTGCAGAAAACTTCTGAACAAATCAAATAACAAGAATGATAAACAAATGGAATTTCAGCAAAACCAAGAATGTTAGACGGAGTTTTCGTATTATACTTTTTCTCTATACATATTTCTGAGCTTTCCTGCTTCCTCGTCCATCGATTGGTCAAGTTTCTGATCCATATCCCACATATTACCTTTGTTATCATTCTCTTCATCAATTTCCAACTCCGAAGTCATTTCGAACTTGCTTCAATAATTTCCAACTACTAACTTCTCTTCTGTTACATACACACATAAAGTCAAACCAAGACTTCATAAAAATAACCTATAAATTTGGTTAGCCTCTATCGACAAATCTTAGTACTAAGAACAAAATTGATTAAAAATTGTGAATAACAAGAATTTAACTAAAATCAATTTTTTGAATACATAAAAACATGAACCAATATTAGAACTAGTTCAATTATTCAATAGTTCAACATGCAAGTTCACAGATAATAATCTCAAATTCAAAATATAAATCCAGAAATAAAAATTAAAAAAATAATAATAATAATTGCTCAAGTTGAAATTCAAACCTGAACTGTACTCACCTATCAAACAACCTGGTACTTGTTACATGGAATTGTGTTCAAATATTTGGTTTTGTTGTTATTGACAGAACCAAAATTCGCAGGTTGGATTCATGAAGAATTGAATAGAACAGAACACAGCCCTATTTTTTTAGTTTGGTTATTGAGAAAGAGAAAATCAAATAGGTAACGGAAATACTGAACATTGGTGACAAAATGATTTCTGACAACGAAAGTGAAACTTAGAGACAAAGTGGACCCACTGTACAACTTGTTCTTGTATTATTTAATAGAATAAGTACTAAAATGATATTTTTTGTTTTTATTTCCAAACTATTTTCTATTATTTGTTTTATTTAGACACATTCATTGGATTGAAAAGGACAAGAAAATAAGATAACTTCAATTTCAATTCTCAACTAGCATATATTTATATTCATTGCATATATAATTTTAGTATATTTGACTAGGTATTATAAAAGCACTAGTTAGTGCTGCTTGATGCTATTGTCAAATGTCAAATGATGTAGGTTGAGAATCATATTTTTTATTCATGTTATATGAATAGTATAATAATATTCGGACTTTAGGTAAATCTTGAAAAATGGTGACGCTCCCTTCGATTGGTGTAGCAATTTAACAATTCTAGGTGATAAGTACTTACTTTTTCAACATTCTCAATCATGATGGTGACATCAGCTAAGGAGATATAGAAATTGGTCTACTTCATGGAACTAAATTGTTGTGGTACAACGTCATTAATAATAAATAAAATTATGAGATTGAGGATTGAATTTTCTAAACGAATACAAGAAATTTTATTTAAGTTTACAAAAGAGAGTGAAAAAGGAAGAAGAAGAATTAATTAAAATTGTTTTATTATTCATTTTTTCAGTAAAGGTTTAAAAATTACAAGTGAATACCAATAATTAACTTCTTTCAACAACATGAGAGAACTATTTTATTTATAGACTACTAAGTTAACTTATCCTACAAGTTAACTTAACAATTGGACTTACAAGTAAGACTCAATTCGACATGTTAACTTAAACACAAAGCTAACATATTTCGATAACATGCTTGAACAGGCTTCGACTATAACATGCACAACTTCTATCGAACCATGAAATTATCATTGTCGGCATTAGAGTTTGATCTAAATACCACAAATCTCCACTTTAAAACAAACTCTATACTAATAAGGTAACACGCTAGCTTTCATCATGCAGCTTTATTAACTGCATACAGTGGAAAAAACTTGCTACTCTAGAATGTCTTGTTGATCATATTAGCAACATTGTCATCATTCGAAACCTTCAGCACTTGAACTTCTCCACGCTCGATTATCTCTCTGACAAAGTGCAGCCTCACATCGATGTATTTAATTTGCTCATTATAGGATGAATTATTTGACAGTTGTATTGTACTTTGAGTATCACATTTAACAAGGATAACTCGACCTTGAAGTTTCCGCTCCTTAGCAAAACTTTCAAGTCTCAATGCTTCTTTCACAGCTTTAGTGAGGGTGACATACTCCGCTTTAGTGGTTGATAAGGCAACAACCTTCTAAAGTGTTGCTTTTCAACTAATTGTTGTGTCAAATATAGTGAACACATATCCAAAAATAGATTTTCTAGAACCCATTCAACCTGCATAATCATAGTCGACGAATATTTTGATTTCGACTTTGCTATCATCACCACATGCTCCATCATAAATCAGGACTCTGCTCCGAGACTCGTTGATGTACCTAAGAATCCACTTTAATACTTTCCATTGCGCCTTCCCATGATTGGTCATATACATGCTTACAAGGCTCACTCTATATGATATGTATGGCCTCGTACATACTATAACATACACCAAAAAACATGTTATAATAGCATATGGAATTCTATTCACATAGGCTCTTTCGACTTCAGTAGTAGGACTTTGAGTCGTACTCAGCTTGTACTGAGGATTAGTCGGTGTTAGAACAAATTTGAGATTGACATACCAAACTTGTCGAGAATCTTCTTCAAGTATGCCTCTTGAGATAAGCATAATCTCAACTGCTTTCTATCTCTCCGGATATCAATCTCAATAATTCTTAAGGCACCTCCCAAATCCTTCATGTCAAACTTCTGACCGAGTTCAGCCTTCACCTTCATAACATCTTCAACATTGTTACTTGTTATGAGAATTTCATCCGCATAAAGCAACAAAATAACAAGTGAATTTTCAGGTTGAAATCTGAAGTAAAACGGTGGTCGAACTGATTCCTAGTGAAACCAATATATATCATGAACTTGTCGAATATCCTATTGCATTGTCGAGGAGATTGTTTCAGACCTACAAAGACATATTCAACTATCACACATAATCTTACTTTCCCTTTTTTGCATACCCTTTAGATTTCCTCATCAGGATAGTTTCATCTAGATCACCATACAAGAAGGCAGTATTCACATCCATCTGTTTAAGTTATAGGTCAAACTTTGCCATCATAGCTAACAACATTCTAGTGGATTTATGCTTTACAACAGGTGAGAACACATCATTGAAGTCGACACCTTCTTTCTGAGTGAACCCCCTAGCAACCAACCTTGCCTTAAATCGCTTCGACATCACTTTTAAGGTTTCTCCCTTTACCTTGAAAATCCACTTACAGCTGACTAACCTGGCCCCTGCAGGTTTCTTAATCAGCTCCCAAGTGTTATTATCATAAAGAGATTTCATCTCATCATCCATGCCTTTCATTATTATAGTTTCTAGGTTCTTCTTTAAGAACCTCACTTGTAGAGATTAAGGCGAATGTTACGAGATCTACATAACCAAGTCTTTGAGGTGGCTTGATGACTCTTCTCGACAAGTTTCTTGCTCGCAGATAGTCATTATCACTCTCCTCATCTTCGACAGCAGCAGCTTCTTCTTCTTCAACTTCATCTGGGTTATACAATTCAGCATCACTATGCTTCACCTCAATGGGAATCTCTTCATGTTCCAGCTCTTCTTCAGAGATCTTGGTACTTCGACCAACGTCATTAGTTTTCTAAAACGCCATCTCAGTTTTATCTCGATTTATAATACACCTCCAGTGACCTAGCTCTAGGAACCACAACCTATAAGCTTCGAATCTTTTAGGGTATCCAAAGAGCATACATTTTAGAGCTCTAGGTTCGACCTTGTCTTGCCTAATATGAGCATAGGCTAACCAACCAAAAACTCTAAGCCTGTCGAGACTAGGTGGGTGCCCCGACCAGACTTCTTCAGATGTTTTCATTCCCAAGATTGTTGAGGGACACCTATTTATCAAGTATGCTATAATCACAACAACTTCTGCCTAAAATACCTTCTTTAATCCCGCACTTATTAACATGCGCCTCACCTTTTCCCGAATGGTTCTATTAAACCTTTCAGCCAAACCATTTTGTCGGGGAGTACCTGCAGCAGTTATGTGCCTTGTCATACTAGACACAACACAATAGCTTTCGAAAGCTTCATTTCAAAATTCAAGACCATTTTCGGTCCTTAACCTCTTGACCTTCCTTCCAGTTTAGTTTTTGACTAGAGTCTTCCAACTTTTGAAATTTCCAAAAGTTTTATCCTTATTCTTCTAGATGAATATCCATAACTTTCTGGAATAATCATCAACCATGGATAGGAAATACTTTGCACCTGAGTGTAAAGGATTCCTTGCAACCCCCAAATATCAGCATGAATGTAATCAAGGGATCCATGTGTACTTTGTTTATCTTTGTTAAACTTCATTCTACATGATTTACCAAATACATAAGGTTGAAAAAACTCAAAATTTTCGACCTTGTCACCACACAGTAGATTTTGTTTTAACTATTAGACCAGGCCTCTTTCATTTATATGGAGAAGTCTCTTGTGCCATAACTCAGTCTTTTATATAACTTTCGTAGATGTGTCATCTTCTGGACCACTTACAAACTCAGCCTCAAGGGTATACAAGCCTTGTCTCTTTACGCCTCTCAAGACTTCCTTCGAACCCTTCATTACCCTTAAGATACTTTGTTTTCCTTTGAAAACATATCCTTTCTTGTCGGATTCACCAAGAAAAATCAATCCCCTTTTAAGATTAGGTACATACCTAACATCAATCAGTAGCTTTATTGACTCATCATGGAGCTTGAATCAGATACAAATGATGGTGTGATCATTCTTTGCTTATATGTGGATGATTTGTTTATTATCGGTAGCTGTGATAAGAGTATCTCTAAGTTCAAGAGCGAACTTATGAATGAGTTTGAGATGACGGACCTTGCCATTATGACGTATTTCCTTGGCATATAGTTCCATAAGTCAAAAATGGGACTGCTCATGCATCAAAGGAGATATGCTTTTGAGATCTTGAAGAGGTGTGAAATGAAGCATTGCAATGCTGTCAGTACACCATGTTAGGCAAGGTTGCAGTTGTCTAAGAGTGAGGATGAGCAAGATGTGGATCCAACATAATATATGAGATTGATTGGATCGTTGCGGTATTTGTGCAATATGCGACCGAACTTGGCATTTAGTATGGGTATTGCTAGTAGATTCATGGAGAGATCGAATGTGTCTCACTTGGCAGCAGTCAAGAGATTCCTTAGATACATTAAAGGAACTATTGGTTGTGTAATTCTCTTTCCCTCATCGGATACGAGACGAAAATGTGATTTA